CATGGCTATGAAGGTGTTGATAACATACTGGTGTGTAAGTACAAATTATGGAAACCACTAAATCACTCAAGGCAAGGCAGAAAGCTCTCTTAATACAAACATGAAACTTGTAAGCTGAACAGTGTGATGCACATTCAGCAACTGAAATGGATGAATCACAGGTACAAAGGAAAAAATCTAACAAGTATCACTGAAAATTATTCTTGGGCAGGTATAATGCATACACCCCATCATTACAAGAACAAGAAGTGGTACAGGAATCACTCACTTCCCTTGTGTACCAAGAGTTATTAGTTGACACCTTATATCTCTGGGACATACTACTCTTTCTAACAAGCATCACAGAAAGCACATATTCAGACTTGGCTATTCCCTTTCTATGCCTAGTGTTCACCATTGAGGCTGGGGCATCACTTCACAACTAAACAAAAGCCAAAGAAGTTATCATTAGAGAATCTTATGTAGCAGAAAACCTTACAATTGCAATGCAACTGCAAGAATGGGAAAAAAACACAGGGGTCAAATCACAAACCAGCTTAGAGAAGAAGAAAAGGAATCAGACTTAGATTTTGTCCTGTTTTTAAGAGAGCTTCAATTCAACTACTAGCTAAATGGTTGTGGCTGTGTAGGTATTTGGGCTCATACCTGGGTTCCCTGAGACAATCATGTAGCTTGATACCTCACTAGAGTATCATTATCCTTCTTCCCCTTGCAACCAAAATGTTTTCATCTTGGTAAATTTGGGACAGAATTTAAGAAAAAATGCTAAAAGCCAATCCCTTTTCCCTTAGGAACTCTGGTAAAACTTAAATGAACCTTTAACTAAAATGACCCACCTCAGGCATATGCAGAAGTTGCATAGGCTTCCAACCAGAAACTTCAGTAGCACCCATTAAAAGTTTTGATAAAACTTTCATTTTAGCAAGTAAAGTAGTTTCTCATAATATTTGAATAAAGTAGCACAGGGAACATCAGGCCTTATAGGTCTGCATTACTTTCACAGACATCTGTAAGTTTAGGCATGCAAGATGACTGACCATTTGTTTTCTAAGATTGATATAAAGATTTTATGACCTTCTCCTTGCCTGGATGAATAGACAGTCCAGTTTGCAAAAGGAGATTTTTTTCCCCCCAAAACAGATTGTTAACAACCTATCTACTCTTCCATATGCTTTTCTTATCTATCTGTTGGAACAAATGAAGGGTATTTGTCAAATCATTAATTTAAAAATGGCAACTTCTTATACTACTTAAATCAGAGGAAAGAAAGCATTTACAAGTTCACAAAAATCTGAACACCAGAAAGTCCTAAATACAGGCAAAATGCGAAAATGTTTTGCATTTTTGCTCCCCCTGCATTCACTTTTTTTTTTGCTTAAATTTAAAGTGGATCTTGAGCCAGCAAAAATGAAGATGAATCCTTCTCCACTAACTTTCTGTCAAAGCCACTAACCAATCAAAACATATTTGGAAGTTTAATTTCGTAAAGTTTATTTTGCTATTCCAATTACATCAAGAAGACCTATATGGCATTACCTGAAAAAAAAAAAAAAACACAGGGCAGCTGACTGGCATAATTTATATGACACATCCAATAACAATAATGATTCTTTTACAAAACATTTCAAGTACTATCTCTCATGTTTTTGGAATTTTACTGCATTTTTCCCCCATATGTCAGAGATTCTACATCACTGTTCTAAAAGATCAAATTTTCACTCAGTTTCAACTTCTTGTTGATTCAAACATTCTGTTAGTGGTAAACAAACTGGTAGAATAACGATAAGTTCAAAGTATTGCTGTGATAGTAGGAAAAGGTGTAAGGCTGATGTGAGAGCAATATCTTGGCAGGTTTGACTCTGAAAGTAGAGCAGATGCATGAAACAGGACCCAGAATAAATAATAACTGCAGTCACATCAGAGCAGAAATTCTGTAAAATCATAAGTAGGTTGAAGAGGGAGAAAATACCCTGACTTACAAAAAAGCACAAGCTGAGAACTACTGAATGCATGGCATCCAAGATAAGAGAGGCTGTGAAGACACAAAGGAATTTCTACTCAATTCTCAGCTTGAGGAACAATTTCAGCAAACAATTCACCATATTTCTGTGAAAAAGTATTACCCTGTCACCCCAGAGAGTGTGTGGGCATGTGTCTAACCAAGTCTCCACATCTTCACACAGTGGACAGTAATGATTCCTGGTTCCCATTTCCAGATTTGTGACACAGAATAATCAGCATACAAGAGTGAAGGTGGTCTAAATGAATAAGACTCAGTGCAACATACCCTAGAAGATATAGATAACATTTTTTTCCAAAGAAACAGTGAAGTTCTCGAATACTGCCACAGGAGTGACTGACAAACTGTTCTATAAAGTAATTTTGCTACCGAATAAAACAACTTGAGAAGAGTTACAAGCAACCTCCACAAAAGTAGCAGCTACAGGACAAAAAATGAAATTGGTAACTCCCAACCAAGAAATAACGTGCCATTCACACCATATGCTTAGCTTGCACTTAAGCACCCATATTGCCAAAAAAAAAAAAAAAAAAAAAAAGAGGAAGTGGGGGGTTCTGTCTCTAGATATTATTGTTGCTGGCAGGAAGATTTGTTAAGGTATCTTCCAAAACAGCAGTACTAGAGAGCTGATTGGAATGGAAAAGAACAAAATATAAACCAACCCCCAACCCATAATCAACTGAGCAGGATTTATTCTCCAAAGAGATGACTGAACCACTGCCGAAAGATTAGTTCCATTAATGAGGAGGTGAGGGAACACAGGTAAGAATAAAAGCCATGGAGCAGCAAACACAGGGTTAAGACAGTTCAAAATAGCTCTGTTGTCCAAGGTAAAAATCATAGCTTCCAAGTCACTGTTCCTGTCAAACTGGGATAGCCACTGTCTGAATCTTCTCATAGTTACATCCAAAGTCCAATTGAATCCCAATGATTTTTTTTCCTCCACATTTTTCTCCAGGTAAAAAGCACATCTTTCAGACAGGAGAGACAGAACAAGTAATCTTTCATACCTAAATCTGGCGTTTGCTGTAGTCATTCAATTGAGTGCACTTTTTTCCCCACACAGTTATTAAAAATATCCCCTCTATATATTTTTTGTATCATCTTTAAACATGGATTTCTACTTCAGAGGTTACTTGCCTCTTGTTCACTTTGGTAGGCTTTTAACCACTGAAAAAGAAGACTATGAAGTAGAAAAGACTTCTGGTAAGTCAGTTCACTGTGTGAGTAGTAACCAGAGCGGTGAGCGTTATTCTCAAACTCACTGGCTACATATTTATTCTTCACAACCTGCTTGCTTTTGAAAACCAAAAGCAGGACTATTTTTAAAAACCAATCAATTGTCTGCTAGAAAACCCTGTTGGTGTGCCAGCCGTATACATAAAGCCCTGTCTGGTTTGTTCCCAGATCTCTCTATTCAGCATGTAGACTCCCATAGGGCTTATACCCCTCAAGAACATAGTATGAAGAAAAGATACCAGGTTTGGAGCACAGGCAAGTCTACAGTGAGATCAAGAACTACCAACCAAGAGCTGGAAGGACAGAAAGGGGTAAAAGAGAAGAGGAAATGGGACTGGAATGGAGATCGCTGGCAAATGGCACCATATGAGTGCACAGGTATGTCATAAATAACATAGGGAAACTGCAGGAGGAGTTGACCAGCTGGAGTAGTTGAGCACTGCCAGGACATGCAGGGCAGAAGTTCCTTGAGCTTTTGCTCATCAGTGCAAGATGCCATTTGTGTTGCCAAGCACCGAGGCTTTGCAGTGCCTTGAGTCACTGTGTTAATCTGCCTGTGTCACCAGCAGCCACGCATGGAACTCAGGTGGGGTTGCTCCCTTTGGGCACCACAGCTCCTGTCAGCACTGTGATGATATTGCAGCAGCAGACAGAACATCCCAACATCCCTTCACCACACACACATCCTCACACAACACTTGCTTCACAAATACCACCTATTTACATTTCCTTGCAAAACAGTCTGTAACCTGGTGACACTCCTTTGAAGAAAACTATTTTGATGCGTTTGAACACTGAATTTGGCCTGTGCCCTTGTCTCAGGCTACGTTTTTCTTTACAAAATTTCAGCAGCTACTTCACTAGGTCTGTTCCATGTCATACCACAATCTGTCTACACTTTTCTTGTCTGCTTCACAGTTTAGTTTCTTAGAGAGCTAATCAAAAGTTGTCTTCCCTCCTACAACCTGATAGAACCATTTACATTGCAGAATTACACATGCTCAAGGAATCAATGCTGGTATATTCCTATTCTGAATTAATACAGACACTTCTAGCAGAGACAGATATTCAGCAATTTGTCTGCAAAAAGATTCTAAGAAAGAAAAACAGTAAAGAAATTACTTTATATGTCTCCTGAAAAATGCGCAGGGAAAAAAAGCTATAAAGCATCTCCATGAAAATAATTTCCATAATTTTAAAGTCACTTTTCAGGAAAAACACATTTTCATTGACGAAAAGAGTATCAAGTTCTGTCTTGCCCTTGTTCTAGAATTCCCTTGCACCAAAAAATTGAACAAATGCATTACCTTGACAAAAATATATCCAGGATACACCATCTTCCAGCAGTAAAAAGGCAGAATTTAGTTGCAATGCTTTTATAATTTAAATGGTGAAGAAATTGGAACCTCCACTAGGCTGATAAAAGAGATAAAGTTCGAAATATTTAAGTCAATGTGAAGTCAAAAAAAAAGCCTGCCTTTAGGCTCATCAGAGCACAGCACAAGGGCTAAAGGGTTGTCCAAAAATCTGCTTAGACAGAAACTGCATGGACAAAATTATTTTGTGCTTTCACCGGCTGCTACATCAAGTCTTTCAGACAACGGAGCAGAGGATAATTGCAAAAGTGAAAATAGCAGAAGCCTCCTCCTCTCAATGGACTACAGAAAAGATCCAAATATGATAAAATTTCACATTGGGTAATTGAATATAGCAAAAATAATGAGCTGTAAATAAAAACGTACCTTATATGAAGTGCCCCATAGTAGCATACTCCAAAGAATGAGATTAGTTCTTGTCTGCATTCTGCAATATTAAAAAGTCCTTCTGCAAGTGATGCTCATCAAAATAGAAGCCATCTTCAATTAACACAAAGACTCCTCCTTATTATAAAAATATCATTGCTTCACCTTCAGAAATAACAAAGAAGCAGCTCTGTAGACACAGCTGTTTCAGGATTCTTTGAATCCTGGCCACCAAGAAATGCATATATCTAAAGTTTACAAGATGCTTGGTACAATAACAAACATACTGCAACTTCTTATTTTTACACTGGAGAATAATGCACTATTCTCCAGCAAATTTCCACTTATAACCAAATCATTACAATGAAAATTTTCATCTCACACACAGCAATAGATGTACTTAATCTTAGGGAACTTCTCCAACTTAAATTTTTCTATGATTCTATATAAATTTTTAATGAAAACCTCTTGATAGTTCTATTCCATTGATTCTAAAGAGATGAAAAGGGTTCTATTTTACTATTCCCAACACAATTATGTAATATAGTCTAAAATCAATAAATGCTTTGAAAAGAGATGCTATCATCTCACTCTCTTACCCTGGAAGCCTCTTCTGTGTAGACACAGTTTTATGTTTGCATTAAAGTGGGCAAGGAAAACTTGACTTAAATACACCATTGCTAAAAAAAGAATAAAACTACTCTGTCTCCTGGAATATGAGCACCTTTCCTTCTTAAGAGAGTTTTTAAGATTTCCACTAAATTAGCTCAGTTGGTAACTGAGATACTTGAATTAAGATATTACCATTCTGTCTTCTTCCAAATTAATTCTGTTAAGATTTGAATTACTTTGTTTGAACAGCCATAATTTTCTTTTCATACACTGCCTTTGAAAATCATTCAGCACAGTTGCCTATGAACAATTTAAACCTAACCTCCAGTCTATTATTTTAAAGTTTACCATTTTAAAAAATCTTACCTTTAATCTTTATGATTCATTTACTGTCAAGTTGAGTTATATTACTCAAAAATATAATTTCTAGCTTTGATTAATTAGTGTCAAAAGGCTGAATTGGTGTATTTATATTCAAAACAGTTCAGAAAAAATTTTCTTATCCAACAACAAGAAACCTGTTGCTACTAAACTCTCCAAAATGTATAGCATGCCTCTTTCTGAAGTTTTTCTCTATTCCCACTTTCTTACTTGCTCAATCTTTTAGTTCTTACAGATGCAAATAGAACAAAAAGCTGAAAATGAAACATGAACTCACTACAATTTCTTATGAAGGACTCCTTGCTGATGTTCATAAGTGGCTGCTGGGAAGTTACTGCATTACCAACGTAGGCTTCAACCAGTACACCATGTTCTATGCTGGTGAAGTAACCTGGAGACTAAAATTAAAATGGGAGTGAGGATTAGAGCCACACACAACGGCAAGAAAAGTCAAAGAAAGAAGAAAAGGCTTTTTGTATTAATGACATAGCATATGTCACAGTTGAGATAGCCACAATACACGGAGTACCCTCATACCATTTCAGAAAGCTAAAACCCAGACAGAGTAACACCAGACCATGGTAGAAGGCTTCAAGTGTCAGCCCTTCTTGCTCTTCAGCCCAGCCTTTTATACCCTCATTGTCCATGCATTGCAGCGGTGTGCCCCCTGTTCCCTTTGGTGATGGGTCAGTGCCCCAGGCCCTCCATGGATCACTGCTGTCAGTGCTGCTCACCTGCTGCTCACAGCTGTGCCCATTGGGGATGAGGCTCAGCCACAGCCCCAACCCAATTACCACAAACTGTACCTACATATTAAGCTAATTATTTATAAATATTAATAATTATTAATATATAGTAATACAATTCTACTCACTGGATCTGAAATGTGAGCAGGCTCTGCATTCATTTTAAAAGTCTATAGGTCACATGCCCTCTGTTTGGATACACATCCAGGCATTAATTCAAACGTCTATTTATAAAGACACTATCTCCCAGACTTTCCTTGTATTTACATTCAGTTAAAAGAATCATTTTCACAGATTAAATCCATTGCTATTGCATTGGCAATCAATGCTGCCTGCACTACTAGCAACTCTCCTGTTGCCCAGTTAGGCAGCAACAAGAAATCACATAACACAACTCTACTAATAATTACTAAGCTTTAGCAGGGAAAGTTCATAGACAAGGTAAAATCTGGTGCTTCTGCGAGTAAAGCTAAGCTTTACTTTCTATCAGTCCAAGATTTGTCCTTACTCAGAGAAAAAGCTAGAAGAACAAACAATAGCTCAGGGTAAAATTTGCCATAAACCAGCAAGTAGTCCTTAAGACACAAAGCTTTATTTTAAACAGGCCTTCAAATTTTAGTACTAATGACCAGATTCTTGGCTTCTAAGGACTTGATGAACAAGGCTGCAAACAATGGAACAATCATCAGCTTTTGTGTTCCAGCACCTGCTCCTTGTAGACCAGGTGACAAGGAGTCTACTCCATCACAAGTATGTCGGACAAGGGTCAATTAGAAGATGATGACCCTGGATATCATCACCTGCACTGCCAAACTAAGAATTAATTATAATTGTACATCCGTTTTGAACTCAAGAAACATAGACTGTTCAAAGATCTCTCATTTAATGACTTCAACTCGAGCCCCTTTTCATCATAAAGGGTGAAAATAAGAAATGGGATTCCCTTTGGCTTCATCTGGAGTGCTGTAGGCAAACCCTCCTTAGGCATTTTGTAAATCTGCAGTATGACCAGTCCTGTACTGTCCTGTAAATTAGCAGTAATTAAGCAGTTACACTGATACTAGAGGTTGACATGTCACTGAGTCTGGAACTCAGCACCTGCTATCACTAAGCCATTATTCAATAGTTACATATTCGGGCAGAGAATATTACACCAGTGACTCACATCCTGCAGATTTATGCCAAATGACAAGGATCATACAGTTCTTTAAATAAAGACTACACTCATCACAAAATATCTACTTATTTGCTCTAAGATGTAGAAATTCATTCAGCAATAATAATTTTGTCCTTTCTTCCTCCCCCCAGAAAACTTTGCATTCAAACACTCCATTGCATCTTGAATTGGAATGGACAGTTGTTCTTCATGCACAATAAAAGAACTATGGTATTTTAAATGTATGGCTGAGCTGCCAGCCCTCTCTCCAGCCTTCCTGACAGAAAAGCACCTTTATAGACAAGCACAAAACTTTTCCTGAACACAATGTCACTCAAACTACCTAAAAGGAAAACATGTACATATAGAATATCAATAACCATGAGAAGGAAAGGAAATTTAACCTTTTTTGAGACAGCAGAAACAAAAAAAATGTTTCTTAAGCATCGGCCCTCATCGCACTCTCCAAACCCAAGTTGAGGGGACTTCTAACCCTAATGACAAAAAAAAAAAAAAAGCACAGTCCCCTTGCTTTCTTCAAAATAGTTCGAGTGCATTCTTTCAAGTTTTCATGCTGGGAGAATGTACAGGATAAAGCTTTTTCTTCAGGAGTAAAGAAGAAATAATGGACAAACCGATTCAGGAAGAGGCCGAGAGAGAATCAGCTGGCTATAATCTGTGTCCTTGCACATGATGGCATGCTGGTACATTTAGTTAAGGATTTAGATCAAAGCATTGTAAGGAATTGCAGCATTTATTTCATTTTAATTTTATGTTCTTCTAAATCACCTGCCTTTTATAAATGTTCTGCCTCAAATTGTCAGCATTATATTACAGCAATAATAAAGTGACTTATTGCTGATCTGTTATCTTTGAAGTTCCAGAAAGTCAAGAAGGGCTGAAAAATGGATTTTATGACATCCATTTCCCTTATGTGAGAACAGATCAGACTTCTCTGATTTATTGATTCTTTTTTCCAGCAAACTAATCATCATCTAACTTATCCATTCATATATCAGTTCATGGCTGTTTCACATTACTACTCACATATGAGGAAAAAGTCTATTAAGAAATAATAAGAAAAATAATTTAAAATGTGTATTGCACAAACCACAAAACTGTTTAGCTGAAGAAAAGTGGAAACCGAGTAAGAACAGAATAAATTAAAGGGGAAAAAAATTGAATTAATTTATATATGCAAAACCCAGAAAAACAGATTTCAGCTCTAAATCAAAATGACAAATCTGAATTATTTCTATGTTGATATAAGCTTTAACTACAGAATCTTACATATTTAAATGGCAACTCAATACAACACAACTTCAAACATAGCTTGTTGCTGTTGAGATTGAGCAGTTCATTTTACACAGCACCATAAGAACACCACACAGCCTAAGTTTACAAGGGTTTTCCCAAGTAAGTAGTGACAATTTGTCAATCTTTTTGATAAGTGACTCTTCATAGGTTACATGTAGTGCATTTGAAAAAAGTTTACCTTACTAAAGTTCATGTGGATTAAAAATCTAGTTATAGGAGCAACAGGTCTAGACTAAAACAATTTTTTTTTCAATTTTCATTCATGAAGTCATCTGATAAATTTTCCAAATGCTCATTACTTAGCTCAAAGAAATTCCTCCTTACTCTCATAAACTCTGTTTCACGGCTTCACTTGCGACAACCATTACTTTGCTAGCTTTGCATATAACAGCAAAGTTCCATGATCATGTTTTCCAGGATTTTAGTTGCCTTGTTACCCAGATGGACCTTTTCAACAGCAGAATGTTACAGTTTGCCCAAAGTTTTAATTACTCTGGTACTGTTAATTGAATCATTGAATCCCCAGGCATTCCACAAAGCCAGGCTCCATTTTCACTGCCCTACTCTATCAATCCTGTTAACAATCTCTTCTATCTGGATTACTTTTTTCCATTTCACCATTTCCTCTGTCATCTTACTTTACCCTCACATCACTGTAATTTTTCACCCTATCATCAGTACTGGTAATATCACTGTCATTTATAAACATTACAGGAATAAAAATTACTCCTCACTCCCCCACTGAGACTGCTGCTTATTTTCCATTGTTAATTAGCTTATGATATTTAAAAAAAAAATCTAATGAGGACGACAGTCATGATCAGGTCTTACCATATAAAGGAGTTGTCTAGAACTTGATCACAACTTAATTTTACACTTTATACCCAGCTGAAATGGATAATTAGCTCATCATGCAGGGAAACGGTCAGCAGTGTTCAACGGAAGTAAACAGCAGGAAAGCAAGCTTCAGCTGTTATCACAAACCATGAAACCTGACATTATACATCATGCTTTTCACTCTTCTAGTACAGATTCCTTTTGCATACTATTACCCTTTTCCTACATTAATGAATTTCTGCATTAATTGACAGATAGCAATATCAGGCTGTTTGTGTCTTAAAACTAAAGTTCACATAGAGACACACACATCTCAAAGGAATATTAAGTTTGCTGATGACACTAAATTGGGAGGGACTGTTCACTGTCTCCAGAGGGAGAGGCCCTGCAGAGAGACCTTGAAAAATTAGAGATGGACAATCAGCAAGTGTAAGAAGCTTAAAAAGGGCAAATGTCAGATTCTGCACATGGGACAGGGCAACCCTGGTGGTGTGTACAGTCTGAGGAATGAGAGGCTGGGGAGCAGTGCCACAGAAAGGGACCTGGCAGTCCTGGCTGATGGCAAGCTGAACGTGAGTCATTGAGCCGTACCAGCCAGGAGGGCCAAGCACGTCTGGGGGGGATCAGGCACAGCACTAACAGTGGGGCAAGAGAGTAGGGGATTGCCTCTCTCTGCTCTGCACTGGAGCAGCCTCACCTTAAGCATTGTGTGCAGTTTTAAGTTCCACAATATTAAAAAAAATATACTAAACTATTAGAGAGCCTACAAGGAAGGGCCACAAGGAGGGTGAAGGGTCTGGAGGGCAAGCCATATGAGCTCACTTGGCTTGTTCAGCCTGGAGGAGACTGAGGGGAAACAGAGCAGCAGACACTGATCTCTTCAGTCTTGTGACCAGTGACAGGACCTGAGGGAACAGCCTGAAGCTGTGTCCAGGGAGTTTTAGATCACATATCAGGAAAAGGTCCTTCGCCCAGAGAGTGGTTGGGCACTGGAACAGGCTCCCCAGGGAAGCAGGCACAGCGCAGCCTGTCCAAGTTCAAGATGCATTTGGACAACGTTCTCAAGCACATGATGTGACTCTTGAGCCAAGGGTTGGACTCAATGATCCTCGTGGGTCCCTTCCAACACTGCATATTCTATGCCTCTGTGGTGAACTGCACTGGAGTCATTGTCCACTTTCTTTTCCAAAGCAATGTCCACACTAATTCTGCATGCAAAACTATGCTTTGACTTTTCTGTAAAAAAAAAAAAAAAAATCTATTGAAGAGAATAGCCTCTCCAGTAAGTAATATGCAATTTGCCCAAACACAGCCAATGTCTCTGCTAAAAGGTTGTAATAAT